GCACTCTAATTTTTTTCTTTCTAATCAATCACACTATATAATATTTTTATATTTATTATAAACATAGTAAAAAAATTAAAAATTGATTGTCACATAATAAAGACTATAATCAATACTAGAATAAAAATAAAGATGATTTCTTGTATAAAAAATAAAAGTCACTTATAAAAATTCATAAATAATAAAATTAAGATCACCTGAAAAAAATTTAATACAATTACAAAGACTAAACAATTAAAATAAAAAAATTATAAAGTGGGTACAAGTTAAAAAATATATGTATAATTTTTAGAATATATAAATATAAGTATACATATAATATATTTAAAAAAAATCTCAGTTGCACCCATGCCACCAACCCTCGCCACTGTCTAGCTCCACCCATGAAGATGTGGAATTCAAAAAAGGTGATTTGTAGTTTTGATATACGCTATCTCATTCTTAAAGTAATATACATGAAACAAATGTATATACCAACTAAAATAATTAAATATCCATGAAACATCGATTGCGAAAAAAAAGTGATATAAAATATCTAAATTTCATCTGTCCTACTAATACTAAATTAAAACCTAACTTAGAAAAAATTAGCCCCAAAAATTTGGGGTTGAAGATCAAGAAGTCTAAATTAAGGCCCAAGTTGAATATTAATTGGTATAGTTTAATGATGAAAGCTCATATACAACTAATTTGATTGTTTATTGTTGGTGAGTCAAACCTGTAAATTTGGATCTAATTACTTTTCCATTTCTTTTTTAAGCTGATGTGTCACATTTTGACTGGTTGGGCGAAACCCAATGGGACCCATTTGACTTTGGCAACTTGCCATTTGTCATTGACTCATAAGCTAAAGTCCAAATTAATCACGTGGGACAAAACCCAAAACAAAATGGCCGAGAAATAGCAAAATAGGAGTTCAAATAGTCAAAATGGTTATTTTTTTTATTGGGGAAATCGTACTTTGTACCCCAAAAGATTTACAAATTCTCACTTTAGACATTTAAACACATTTTTTTTATATATTTTACCCTCAATATATTAAGAGCAATGCTGTAGAGATCTAATTTGAGGACTTAATTAGGAAGCTAATTTGATGTAGTCAATGAATTAGTTGTAAGTATGAACTAATTGTAAGCTCAAATGTTAGATAAAACTCACTTTCAATCAAATGATTATATTAAATTAGATAACTAAATTAGGTTTAAGTAACATGTTTTATATATTAAAAAAAGTTATGCAACACAGTCTTTTTATTAATTTTTTTTTTGTTTATTCTGTCGAAAATTACTTCATTTATATTAATAAAATCTATAATATAGAATATGACAAACTTCAATAACCTCATCCAATGATCATAAATATACTTATCTAATGACCACAAACATCTTTTTTAAAATTATTCATATTAAATTTCTTCCCCTTTAAATCCATCACTTCTTACTTACTGTACATTCAGGTATGAGTTACCCTTAATAGATAATAAAATCTAACGGAAGAGTCATATTATAATAAATTTAATATATGGGGTATTATGTGAGAAATTTAATCTTTTACGGTATAGAGTAACAATTCTAGAATCTTTTGAGGTTCAAAGTGCAATTCGCTATTTTGGATTTGGAAAGTTTGAACTGTACCTCAATCCCGCTCACGCTTCGGCTGTAATATAGTAACCCCCACACTCCACTACCCCCACACGCCACACTGACTCTCTCTCTCTCTCTCTGGTAGATGCATGGTCGGGTGCAAAGAAACCTAGCTCTGCTATCTCTGGATCGCCATTAGATGGTCTAGGAGCTCTGGAAATGCAGAGTAAGTTCAGCTCTCAAGGTCTATATTTGGATATGTGTGCTTATGTGTTTGTGTGTAGATAAGCGTATTTACTACGGGTGCAATTCATACATGGAGGCTTCAGTGTGGTGCATTGCGTTTTTTGTGGTGTAGATAATGACTTGCTTTGTAATTTTTGAGCTTCGGTTTGTGAAATTTACACACAGATTTATGACATTTACTGATATTTGGTTTTTTCCTTTGGGCTTTCTTTTACCTCGATTAGGCCTGTGTGTACTTCAAGCTCATTTGTTTCGTTTTTTTGCTACATTGTTCTGTCTTTAGTTGAGGAAATCAATGTCAGAGCATATCAATAGAGGAATTTGGGTAAATTTTTTAGCGAAGCGTTTCAAATTTTTTTTTCTCTAAATATATTGTGTTTGCTTTATATATTTAAGTTTTTGATGAGCAGATACATCAAAGTTTGGAAGGAACTAGGGTTAAAGAAATCTTCGTATTGTTCCTTTTTATGATGATTTCAAGACAGTTTTCTATATAACATTTGCTCATATCCATTGGGATTTTGAATTTCTATTTGTTTAGAATAATTTTGAATTGCAAAGCAAAATTTTGACCTAGAAGCGGTTTGATTTTGCTTGGTTTTGCTGGCTTCTTCTGAAATCACACTTAATTATATATAAAAAAAATATAGACCTCATTTCTCTGGACTTGATTTTAGAATTTATGTATAAGAAAAGAAGGGTAAAAGAAACATTCAGAGATAACCGAAATGCCTTTTTTTTCTCTACGTCCATCTCTCCCTGAATATATGTGCATGCACAAGCGTGTGGAGGCATATTGGTGTACCTAAACTTGTTGCTGATGTTCTCACTCTTTTACTGAAAAACTGTTGTCTGCAAATAAAATTTCATGTACAGCCTGAAGGACAAAGGAAAATGGTGGAGGGTTGGCATCATCCCCATGAATAGGTAATTTCTAAAGTGGCTAAAGTTTCCAAAGAACAGCAGAGGACTCCTTGATTTTTTTTCTACCAGTTCACACTAAACCTATGAAAAATATTGCAGGACTCAATTCTCTCAAGTCTAACTACAAGAGTATGAGGGGACTGTTCCTTGCTTTTGTGAAGCTCCAGAATCACATTGGCAAAAGATGCAGGTGAGGACTTTAGATTGTGGACATGTTCTCTTCTTCAACTACATATTTATGATTTTGGTGTAATTTCTGTAATTTGTTACTTGTTGCACCCATACGTTGTACAGACATATAGTGTTATGAAATATAGAGTATCCGTCTTCTCAGGCAAAGAAAAACTCCATGGGAAGTTTAGGGCACTAGTTTATGTCGCAATCCACAACCTGTTTCCCGTAGGTTGAAAGTGTTAGATGCCTCTATAGTCAAATAAAGTGCAGCAGGGAATGGAATCTGCCTTGTTAGCACCATGGCAGGTAATTAGGGAAAGTAATAGCAGAAAACTAGATGTTTCGATTCCAAACTATTAAAATTTGCATTTTATTGCTGTTATCTGTGAACTTTTAGTATCTGCCTACATTATCATTTTTTTTGCATGTTCTCTAATCATGATGTTTAGTTCTGTAAAAAAAGAAGAAGAATTGAGCAGTTTCCAATCACATAAGCAATAGGGTATGCTGATGTGTTCAGGTATAATGTGCATCAAAAGCTTAACTTGAATTCAGCATTGAATTGTGACCACATGAAACATATTTTCTGGCTAAAATTTTGACTTGTGGACTATACCCATATTACACTAGTCAAATGATACTGCACATATAGTGTCCCCGGTTACCTCACAATTGAGTAATATGGAGTTCTTTTAGATCTTTTGTATCTATTCTATATAACCAAGGGGATGATTACATCCTCAATACATGGGGTAAAAATCACATTCCTAGTACCTTATGTGCGACCATTTTCAAACACAAGATTGCCAAATATTTTTTGTTGAAGTGTTGTTTGGAACTAGGATCTTGACTTTTGACCTAACTCCTGGCTAGACTAGTTGGTAGATACTTTTTTTTTTTAAAATCGTATTGAAAATGGCTATCTAGAATTGGTCGTCAATAAAGAGGGTGATCAATGTGGGAGCTCCATAGGAGTGACGTAAGATCAATACAATAATGAAATGTTTGCAGGTTGTCGTGCAATGATGCACATAAATCCAAAAAAAAGAGAGTATTTATGAGCCTCCTGGAAACTGGCCATTGTTTATGGTACAAAATGTTCAGAGTAATAGACAATATTGAGAGGTAAGTGTTATTAGCAATGAGTTACAAATCAAGAAAGATTAAGTTCATGTGAAACAAGCACATAGGAAATATAGTAATTGAGGAAAAGAGAGAAAAATCATACATTGTTCCCTTGAAGTCGTTGAATTTTATAATTGATGTCGCTGCATTTTCGGAATTATAGAGGTCTTGTTCATGATACCCTTGCAATGATCAGTTACAATGTTTCTATTGCATACATTTTCCCCTCTGAGAAGTCATGCTTCCAGAGACTATTAACAATGAATCAGTCTCATAGATCTTAAAGCTTGACTGGCAGTGGTAGATTGTGATGCTGTCCTCCATTTCAGACTTGTCTTCGGTGCTAGTATAATAGATTGTCTTGCTCCTTAAATGAGTTTTCTGTCTCTTTCCTCACTATTTGCTCTATACAAAAATCTCCTGTTTGGTTTGCGAGTTGTTTTTTTTTTTCTCTGATATAAGATCCCCGGGTAATAAATTTCAGATGCTCTATATGACATAGGCCATGATTTGCTTCATTGGGAGCTCACCAAGTAATCAATTTGATATGCTTTTGTTGACTAACTTTTAGATGCACTCATTCTGGGATTGTATCATGGCTCATCTATTAACTCATTACCTTCATGTTACTTTATTTGTTTTTCTTAGGAACTTTGACACATGTCTTTGGACTATTTCTCTCCTTTCTCTTCAGTCCAGTTAACGGCATTTCTAGGACAGTTGCAGGATTGAAGCTAGCATGGTTCATCCAAGGATAGAGACAAAATGACATTTTAACTTAAAACACTGTGTTACGCTGCATAGAGCAAAATGGGGAAAAGGATTTGTGCAACCTACATCTGAAAGTTTTGTTGAATTGAATCTCATTGTTCTTCGGTAGGACTTTACAATGTATTATTTGCTAAACATGGGTGTCTATTGCTTGTTGCCATAACGAAGTTACTTAATTGCAGCTGATGAAACGCGTATCAATTTAAAACCATGCATCACTATTCTACAAGGAGTGTAAATAAGAAGAAAGAAAATGGAACTAATGCTACATTCCAACAGCCCACTGTGCGAATCACACGAACACATGCCAAAGCCCTAGGCTCATCAGGAGGGTTACCCCCACTAATCCCTTCTGCAAAGCAGGATCAGAAGCGAGTCTTTCGACCAAATTCCAAAAGAGCAGCATTAGACGAGAACAAAGCTGCGGTCAATGTCACAGCTGGTCTTCAGCATAAGAAAAGGGCTGTTCTTAAGGATGTCACTAATGTCTTCTGTGAGAATTCCTACGTAAACTTCAGTAATGCAACCAAAATTCAGGTAAGGTCATCTTCATTTGACTGTTAATGTGATGTTTGATTCTCGGATTCTGATAGCAAAATCATCCCCTTAACATCGTACTCATAGTCTGTTGATGTTGCTGCTATCAGCCTAGCAAGCAGTCTAAGAAAAGTACTGCGAAGAATAAAGCAAAGGTGGTGCCAGTTGTTTCTTTGGTAAATACTCAGAACGCAAAAACAACTGGAGAAATAACCAAACCAAAGGTGGAGGATTTGCTAGGAATTAGTCCACCTGAAAACTTGAATGAAGATTTGATGATTCAACATGGTAAATGCATGAGCATACGTGCAGGTGGTGCAGCAGATCTGATGCATGTAAAGCAAACTTCCAGTAGACATGTTCTACTCCAAAGCCCATCACAGAAAGGTTAAATGTTTTGTATCAGCTTTTCCGCAGGGTCACAACACATGAAGATATGGCTTGGTTCTGTTTTGTTAGGCGCATGAATTAGATGTTTACTTCCTAAGTGCTAATATAATGACTCATAAGGACATTGTAAGCCTCCAGCAAACCAGCAAACTATGCTACTTTGCATGTACAGTTAAAAGTTAGTAGAAAAAGTTTTGGACTTACTAACACATTAGTAAGGGGCACAAGTACAAATTTAGTATGGTGCCCTCCAAAGTCAACGTGCATCTAACTTTCAAATTGACCTTAAATAATTTCAAATGTTTTAGTATCATGAATTGCTGAACATTTTTCTTGTATTAGAGTTTAGGTATGATGGTTGTATCTCCAAAAGTCAAGTAACAAGCACTGTTTAGGAACATGCATTTTGTGACATCTAGTAAAGTTCTTCCTGTTGGAACACTACTACGTCTAAAACTCGTATGCAAAGCCAGAATGTTTTAGACTACAAATATAATTCTTGGACATAGTTTCAAAGTCATGGCAGCAATAGGTTCCTGGATTTTAACCTTTGTGTTGGTGTTATCAACAAGCTTGCAGCACAAGCAACCTGAAAGGTTGTAGACTGCTCAAGTAACCAAATGTTAGATTCAGGTCTTAAATGTGCATTCGGCAACTTGTAACTAACTTATTTTTTCATTTTTGCTTTGTTAATTGGCTGAACATTCTGTTTGATACAATCCTTTGATAGGACAAGCCAAAACCTTTGGTCATGCATCATGCTTCTTCGGTATTGTATTGAAATCCATTGTAGGAACTGATTTTGTATGCATGATATTATGAAAATAGAATTATATCATAAGGTTAAAGGAAGAATAATGGAAATTAATTTGCTCGACTCTTGATATATTCTTGGAATAAAGTTCTCTTCCACTGATTTTTAGCCAGATTTGGTTGTATTATGCAGAAGGCGGCAAGAGTTGCAAGAAATTGGAAGCTTTGCATGGTCTAGGTATTGCAGATATAGATTTGAACCTCAAGGATCCACTAATGTGCAGCCTGTATGCCCCTGATATATACACTAATTTACGTGTTACGGAGGTCTGTATATAGCTGCCTACCTACTGCTATTTGATAATAATTGCTGCCTATGTCTTAATGACCATAATTTTATCCATGCTCAATTGCATACCCCATTGCCTCTACCACTAACGTTTTCTGGACAATTATATGATAGTAAGTTCGTAGCAAGGAAATACCCCTTATGTCATTATCCAACTGGAGTCGGACAGATGAGGCTTTAGTTATTTTTTATATTTTATGAAACAATTCCAAGTGAATTTTTGTTTTTGCAAGGGAAATTTTCTGGTTCATATTCTTATTTATTTTGAATTCCCTATTTCACTCAGCTTGGCCGAAGGCCCTCGGCTAATTACATGGAAATGTTGCAGCGGGATATCAGCCAGAGCATGCGTGGTATTCTGATCGATTGGCTTGTGGAGGTTAGTCTATTCAACTGACTTACATATAAATGACAACTTATTATACTGCATATGCATATCTTTATTTGGAGAGACATTTGTAGTCTTCCAGAAGTGTTGCAATAGTTGAAGTAGACAAAAGTACTAACTGTGTGGACAAACATAAATTCACACTTCAGAGTAAGTTTTCTCGTTAGATTAATTTCTTGGAAGCTTCATGTCATTGCCAAGCACCATCTGCCAATCTAATTTGCATTTCCTGGTTTATTTGCATATCTGCCTTAGATTAGCGATTTCAAAACCAAAAACAACTAAGGTCTCTTGTCCTTGTTTCCCATGTTGTTTAAGCAGTGAACTCCAACCTTTTGGTATCCAAGAGCTCTACATAGTCACATTGGCACTAATGCTTTTCTACAGATTTGAATAGCTGGCTATTTTATCTTCAGCCTTTCCTGTCGTTGCTCATTTACTCAAAATGTTTTTCAATTGATATCTTATGACATCAATGTTTTTGTAATATTTTTTCATGTATTATGCAAAGGCATGATAAGTCATAGAATTCATCATGCACTGTATTGGGTTGTAGTAACATATGACCTATGGTTTGGATAACTATCTGCTTCAATGCTAATTTCTAATCCATTAACTTCACAATGACAACATACTGTGGTTTTTGTAATATTTTGGCTACAATATTCAGATTTGCAGAGCTTACAGCGAAGAGTATCTTGGGTTCTCTAATGTCACCATGCATGGTAATGCTATCCATCACTTTGACTCCTCTCTTTCAGGTTTCTGAAGAGTATAAGCTGGTTCCGGACACTCTTTACCTGGCAGTAAATCTCATTGATCGATTCCTCTCTGAAAATTATATTGAAAAACAAAAACTGCAGCTGCTTGGTGTGACATGCATGCTAATTTCCTCGTAAGTTCTTGTGGGTGTATGTGCATTACTTTTCTTTCACTTTGAAGTACCATCAGAATAGTTTTGTTATTTGATAAAAGTCCTGAATAGGTGACCTTACTTTTGGAAGCAACATACTTCTTTATCACTGATCGATTATAGGATGGTTGGCTATTATTTGAGTTTTAACTTTTTTTAGTTCACAATTGCAACGGAGATTCAATAGAAAAGTTTTGAAATATCAGCTACTTGGTAGATGAAAGAGACTCTCTCTATCTCTTTCTCAAGCTTGTGTGCATGCAAACATGTTTATGCAAGCTTGAATTCTCACGTGCTCACTGAAAACCAAAATGAAAAATAGAATTGAGAAACAAAAAAAATCCAGCGCGTGTTTCTGGAGAAGAAAAATCAGTTCATAACTCTCTCATATTGCTCTTGATTCAGAAAATGAGCTTAATTTATTTGTGGTAAATATGACACTACGCTCTTGCATATACATCTGGCGATTCTAGTTTTTTATGTAGTACTAAAACCTTCATGTTTTGCCCCTTATATGTTCATGGCTTCAAGGAAGTATGAAGAAATTTGTGCACCCGGTGTGGAGGAGTTTTGCTTCATAACGGACAACACCTACACAAAGGAAGAGGTATCTTCTTAGCTACTCCTGAAGCTAAATACCTCCATGTGAATAGTTCAATTAAAATTAATGAAAGAAAAAATAGGACTCCTTAAAAGATGTGTGTATTTCGAAAGAGCAGCAATACTAAATATGAAGGGAGGAAAGTAATTCTACTGCATCTCATTCAGTTCAAGTCATCTTTCAAGTTCCAAGTATATTCAAGCTTCACTTCAATCTACTCCTTGTATCACTGAGTGCTTTGGTGCTTAAATCATTCTACACATAAGAATTGCCTAAATGCTGGCTGAAATATTAAATTCATTTTTTAACATACTCTGATTCCCTTAACCCAACCCTCTGTAAGTATTCAAAATTCTTTTTGAGAACCCATTTTATGGCCAATAATTCTCTGAACTCAGGCTTCATATATGCCCCCGACTATCTTTTGATGCCTTCATCTTCAAGGTCCTGCCAATTTCTATACATCTTGGGTTCATTTGATTTTGTTTGTGGCCATATATTCGGTCAAGTCATGGACTTCATGTTGGTCCAGATTGCTGTGATGGTCTTCATCTTCAAAGTCTAGCCAATCTTGGTACGTCTTGGTTGGCTCATGTTGTTCTTATTGGTTTTGGCTTCAGTGTTTCCACTGTCAAATTTCACCGGCAAGTCATTATTACCACTGAAATAGTTACTATGCATAGGGTATGGGTATTCATGACTAAGGTTCCGTGGCAGGTTTTGAAAATGGAAAGTCGGGTTTTGAATTTGTTGGGATTTCAATTGTCTGTTCCGACCACAAAGAAATTTCTTAGGTATTGTTCACACTACTGTCTGTAATTTTCTTTCTTGGTACAATGCCAACTAACTGAGTCCATCAGAGCTACTAATTTCATTTTTTTCCTGGTACTGGTTTTCAGGAGATTCATTCATGCAGCACAAGTTTCTTCCAAGGTAAGCTAGATGCTGTTTATTTCCCTATCTCACTAGAACATAACAAATTCTCATGAAAAAAGCTACATTTGTGCAATATATTACTTTGATATGCAGGTTCCTTGTGTTGAACTGGAATTCTTGGCAAACTATTTAGCAGAATTAGCTCTTATGGAGTACAGTTTTTTGAAGTTTCTTCCATCCCTCATTGCTGCATCTGCTGTATTCTTAGCAAGATGGACACTTGATCAGTCAGAATACCCATGGGTCTGCATTTTTTGTCCCTGTTCATTCTATTTAACTTCCTTTTTTGTTTTTTCCATTCAAGGAAAATGAATATGCACAAACTTATTGCAGAATCCAACTCTACAATATTATACTAGTCACGAGGCGTCAGAGCTAAAAGTGACGGTTCTTGCATTGCAAGGTCTGCAACTGAACATTAATGGATGCTCCCTTAACGCTATAAGAGAGAAGTATAAGCAACAAAAGGTAACGGACTATGTGAAAACTTGTCTTTAGTCACTTGTTGTTACTCTGGCAAGAGCAGACACAAAAAAGTAATAAATTTATTTGCATCATTGGTGTTGCACTTTTGTAAATAGATGTCTCAGTTGAAAACCTCTTAATTCCTGTTTTAGTATAATAAGTTGGATAGCACAAGCCTGAACAACTTCTTCAGGTTGGGAAGAGTTAACCAAATGTGCAATTCATGACCTTCTGGTAGTGCTTATGTCCTGTTTCATTTTAAAGTTTTGTGGGTAATCTCATGAATCTGAGGTTTGCGTTGCAATCACAAGTCAAAGAGCTTGTGGTTGGAACCTAGAACGATTTTCCGTTAACTAAATTTTTTTTACCAATAGTTGGGTTTGGTCATGTGTACTGATGAAATTCATTTACGATGACAGTTCAAGTGTGTGACAACTTTATCTTCACCAAAACCTGTTCAGTCACTGTTCTGAAGATTTATGAGTAGTCGATTCCTCCTGGCATGAGATGAAATATTTATCAACAGTTGGAACTCCTCTTCATGTGATGTGACTTCTGAGGATGCAGTGCGCTGTTCTCAACCCCAAAAACCTGCCAATTTCCAATTTATAATTATTCTTCTCACTTTTTCTTTTCTTTGCAACCCTATCGTTGTTGTATCGTTGTATCTGATTCTAATGCTACCTGACCTGTTTTTTGTAGCATGAAAATGTGAAAGCAAGGATGATTTGAAGCAGAAAGTTACTAACATTAAAACACCTTTTGGCATAGTTTGTAAAACTTCCTAGCTCTGGAAATTAACTTAACAAAACTCAAGAAATTCTTGCAGTGAGGCTGCTGTAGCTGTTTGATTATATGCCATTCTATTTTGTCGTCTACAAAATAAATATCACTTCACTTTATTTCGAGCTGATTTGTTTTGAGTTAATATCTTTGTTCATTCATGTTTTAAACTTCTAACAGAATCTGGTTGCAGTTGAAACAATATGTGTAGGAGAGAAGACACAGTAAGATTAATTATAAATTTTCTTGTTCTTGCAACAAGAAGCACCAATATTTTTGGTACTTTATTCAATTCTCCATGGAAATGGAGTTTTGTGAATTCTCCCCGAGATGGGAAGAACATTTTAGAGAGGTTTGCATTATGAAGGGTTGTAACGTGAGTCATTTTTTTTAAATTGTGTACATAGATTGATATTATCCAAGGGTCGTGTTTTTAAAGTGTAATTTATCAATTTCTTATTTTTGTGAATAGTGTGCCTGTATTGATTGGTATCTTGTGTTATATGTTGCTTTCAAGTGTATTTTTTTTTTCTTCATAGTACCTTTAAGTATGAACAATAATTAGTTTATGTACTAACTTATGTTGAATATGAATCGACTTGACGAGGGACTTTTGGTTTTGGTGAAGAAATTAGTTAGTTGGTCTTCACTGCTAATATAGAGTAGTTCAAGATCTTTGTGAGTAACTCTTTCATGAACAAAATGATAGTCGACTTCTATATGTTTGGTACGGGTGTGGAACACTGGTTTAGAAGCTAGAACAAGAGCAGAGATGTTATCACACCAAATAAAGAGCTTAGGTTAGTCTACCTAAGAATGAGTAGTGGCGAACTTTAATTGAAATAGGGGCAGAGCTTTTTATAAAGAGTTACATCGGCAATAATCCAGCAAAAGGGGGATTATTCAGGGCACGCTCAATGGATAACGGAGATGGAATAGCGTCTGTTGATTGGGATGTGAAACCTGTAGTAGAACGTCTGTTGATTGGATCACCAGCCCAATCTGTTTCAGTGTAGGCAGATATGGAGAGAGAGTGAGGTGTGTTTTTGGGAAAGAGATAATGAAGACCATAAGATGTTGTCCCTTTGAGGAATCGAAGGATTTTCTTCACAGCAGGACGGTGACCATCAAGTAGACAGTGCATGAATTGACAGACAGTATTGACGAAAAAATGAAGGTCTGGTCTGATAAATATTGAGTATTGAAGAGCTCCAACAATAGACCAATAGGGGGTAGGATTAGAGAGAAGTGTACCCTCCTCTTTGGAGAGTTTAAGAGAACGGGAAGAATGTGTTTTGCAAGGATTGCAAATGATCATGTAGACATTTTGCAAAAGATCAGTAGCAAATTTTTGTTGATTAATAAGAAGACCAGTTGGGGTGTACTTTTTTTTTTTTTTAAGACCTTCCAAAATTACCCAGATCTGATCCATAACCTTCTGATACTTCCAAGGAACTCCAACTTTCCTTTCCACCATATCCACCAACGCTTGGGAATCAGATTCAATGAGAATCCGATACCCTTCCAAACTATGCCTTAAAATCATCTTCAACCCATCAAGCAAAGCATAACACTCTGCCTGCATATTTGACCCCATACCATAAAAGGCTGCAGCAGGAAACACCACATGCCATTCCTGATTTCTAAGAACCATCACTCTACCCGCAAACCCACTCGAACCCTTGGACGCTCCATCAACATTGAGCTTTAACACCCCTACAGGAGGGACCTCCCATCTACCCCACAGAGCTTTAGTCTCCACAACAAAGTTGGGCACAATTTGGAGATCAGAAAGCAATTCCTTACCCCTAGCATCATCAGCTCTCTTGGGCCTTACAACAAAGGCCTGCAACTTAAGAGAACTGACTATCTGCATAAACACAGCATATGAAGACAACCTAACTCCTTCGAACCTTCTCCTACACCTCTCTTTCTACAAAGCCCAAAAAATCAGCAGAGAAACCCCTCTCACCAAACCATTGCTCAAGGATTTTAATCTAAAAATTCTCCTAAGTCTTAAAAACCCGAAACCCCATCAAACCAGCAATCTTCCCCCAGACTGACTGAGCAAAAGCACAATTAACAAAAAGATGAGAACAACTCTCCTCCTCTTGAAAACACCTGCTCACCAAAGGAATCCCCAGAGACTTAACCCTTTCATCACTTGTCAGGGCATTTCTAAAAAATTTCCATCTACACAGCAGAGCACTTGGGGATACCGGCTGCCTCCAAATTTGCTTAGCAACCAAACACTGCACCCTTTGCTGCATAACCAAAAACCAAGCAGACTTAACAGAAAATACTCCTGAGCTAATAGGCTTCCAAATTCTTTTATCCACCTGATCTGACAAGGAGACACCAGACAGTAATACCTCAGACTGTAACTGGGAACCCAATAACTTAAAGACACATTATCCAAATGCCACTGCCCATCCACCCATAACTCGGCCACTTTAGGAAAATCATGAGGGATAATATCAATTCTCAGCAATAAAGGACCAGACTCCAACCAAGAGTCACACCAAAAGTCCACACACTGCCCATTCCCAATAATCACCAAAGAATTAGACACCACAAACTCAAACCAGGGCTTTAAAAATTTAGAACTTCTGACCCCCCCCCAAGATCACCACAGCTTAACAAATGCTTTCCTCTCAAAAACTTATTCCTAAACACCTTCGCCCATAGAGAAGAACCATTCAAGATATTCCAAACCTGCTTAACTCTGAAAGCAGCCTGAATATCCTCAAACCTCCTTATACCTAAGCCCCCTTCAGCCTTTGGTTTAGACAACTGATTCAATGCCTCATTCTTTCATCTACCTTGCTGGACCAAATAAACACAGCAATCATTGAATTCAGTCTCCCTAATACACCTTTAGGAATATTCATACAGGCCAACACATGAATGGGAATGGCATTTAAAACAGACTGGACCAGCACCACTCTCTCCATACCAGTCAACAGTTTAGCATACCAGCCCTCAAATTTACTTGGGGGTGTCAATCGTGTCGGGTTAAATGATTACGTGTAAGCTACACGAAGGAGTCCACTACCTCTTTTATACTAAAGCTCCCTCTCCACTCCCTTGTGTGCTGTGTCGATGTGGAATTCAAAGAAAAGGTCATTTAATGCCTCAAATGCTCAAAACTCCTTTTCTTTGAATCCCACGTCGACACAGCACACAAGGGAGTGGAGAGAGCTTTAGTATAAGAGAGGCACTGGGCTCCTCTTTGTAGCTTACCTTTGTGCTTTGGCTTATATCAGGGATATATATATGTATGTAATAATTATTAATTTATTATTATATTAAATTTATTTAAACGGGTGATAAACGGGTTGACAGGATTCATTCAAACACGATCCATTTATTAAACGTGTTTGACGAGTTAACTTGTTTATCACTCAAACCCGTTTAATTCGTGTCGGTTAATCATGTCGTGTCGAATTTTGATAGGCTTAATTTTTACCCCTAAAGCTCCTAACCACTCCCTCAAAGAAGCAATTCTTAACTCTCCCTCTAACAATGGGGACAAGTAAAAGGGCACCTCCAAGACAAGTAAAAGGGCAGGATTTTAGAGGGATACCTACCAAAGAAGACAGCACATTTTTCCTAGCAAGAGAAATCTTATCAGAATAATATAAGGCGTTCTTCAGTTTATTCACCTTCTGACCAGAACATTCTTCATAAAGGTTAACAAACCTCATCAAATTGATAACAGACCTCTTCTTACCCCTCAAAAACACAAGAGTATCATCAGCGAACAAAAGATGACTCACCAAAGAGGATCCCCTACCTATATGAAAATGCTCCACCTCTTTCCTTTGAAAAATTCTAGCCAAACCTCTGCTCAGTACTTCCTCAGCCAGAATAAACAGGGAGGGGGATAAGGGAAACCCTTGCCTAAGACCTCTTGAATTAGGGAAGAATCCATGCCTCTGCCCATTCAAACAAACAGTGAAAAACTGATTGTGCAAGCAATTAGAAATAATCTGCACAAATAAGCTAGCAAAACCAAAACTCTCCAAGACTTTCCTAAAAAAATCCCACTCCATTCTATTATATGCCTTCATCATATCAAGCTTCAATACCGCATTTCCCCCTTCCACCTTCCTATTCAACTCCCCTACCATTAACCGTCCTAAAGAGACATAATCCCCAATACACCTACCCTTCACAAACCCATGTTGTTCTTCAGAGATCAACATAGGAAGCTAAAAAGCAAGCCTGGAAGTTATTAGTTTAGTAAAAACCTTATATAGGAAATTACATAAACTAAAGGGTATAAAATCTGCAGAAGACACAGGAGCACTATTCTTAGAGATCAGCACCAGTAAGGTGGCATTGGCAGATTTAGGCATCTCCCCCCCTTTCAACCAAAAATTCACTGCACTCCACACATCCTGTTTAATGACCTCCCAAGCCACTTGAAAAAATCTACCAGACAGCCCATCTGGCTCAGGGGCACTCTCCACTGCCATTGAAAAAACAATATTCTTCAGTTCATCCATAGAAGCTTCAGCCAGCAACCTCTCATTATCCTCCCTAGAAACCAGACAGGGAATTACAGAAAATATCTCCTCATCCATTCTATGCTCTTCTGAGTTATATAAAGATCAGAATAAAACCTAACTGCAGTTTCAGCTATTTCTCCTTCATCATGCACCCAAATCCCCCTTTCATTTTGAATTCTCCTCACTTTATTCCTGACCATCTTACTTTTAGCAATAGCATGAAAGAAACTAGTATTTCTTTCCCCTTCCACTGCCCATCTAACATCCGCCTTCTGCTTCCAATAAATCTCCTCCAATCTGAGAAGATTATCCATCTCTCTCTTACACTCCTCCAGCTCCACAAGTTTATCCTCATTAAACTCCTGATCCAAACTCATCTCAACCAACTGCACCCTCTTTTCCTGGGCCCTAATATTATCAAACAAGTTTCCAAAAACCTCCTTGTTCCAAACTTTAATATGAGCTTTCAAATATTTGAGTCTTAAGAACAAATTAGACACAGGGTTATCAGAATAATGCCCTCCCCAATTGGAAGCAATTAAAGGCAAAAATCCTTCATGTTCACACCACGTCTTGAAATCTAAAGTAATAGAGCCTCCTCTGAACAAGGCCACCTGAAATCTTCAAAAATAAGGGGTTATGATCAGAAGTGCCCCTTTGCCAGATGCACCACTTCTGTATTTTCAAACTAAAAAGACCATGCCCCATTCACTAATGCTCTATCAGTCTCTGCATCATTCTAACTTGACCCTGTCTATTATCACACCTTGTAAACCTGCTGCCACTAAACCCACAATCCATCAAACCACCTTGATCCATGAACTGCCCAAACTCCTCAATGGCAACCAGAGAAGGAGAAGCACCACTTTTTCTTTCCTCACAGGACAAAATCGAGTTAAAATCCCCAACCACTAACCAAGGAGTCCTATCAGGAGCCTGAATATGTAAAAGATGTTGCTACAATAACCTCCTCACCACATGGTCACAACTAGCGTAAACCACTGAAACCCAGCACACCTCAGACCCCAAAAAAGACAACTCCACAGTCAAAGCCTGCTCATGAGAAAACAAATCCCTGACCCTCACTCTGTCATCCCAGAGCACCCAAATATTCCTTTCAGCCAACGTGCTCAAACAGAAATGATTAAGACCTATACTACTAGCAAAACCTAACAGTTGGAGAGTATTGCACCTCAAGTCCTAGGAAGTAATGTAATGGACCTAGTTCAGTCATTGCAAAAGTGAAGCTAAGTTTGGTGATCAAGGACTGAACATAAGAAGCATCATTTTCCGTAATGATGATATCATCAACGTAAAGCAACAGGATAGTAAAAGACCAATTTTGGGATCTAATGAATAAAGAGGAATTGGCAGAAGAGGGATTAAAATCAAAAGTGAGAAGATGTTATGTAAACCTTTCAAACCAAGCCCTTAGTGATTGTTTTAAACCATAAAAAAACTTTGTGCAGTTTACAAGCATAATCAGGATGTGTTGGATCCTTGAAACCTGGGGTGAGTAGAGGGTAACATGCACAACAAAATGTTGAGGATTTTGTAGTCAAATGGAGAACCAAAGGGGAGTCCATAAAGAGATTTATTTGAAGTGTTGCAAGTGGAAAGACAATTAATGAGGAACGCTGTTGTGGCAAATGCATAATACCAAAAAGATAAGGGAAAATGAGCTTGAGCGAGAAAAGTAAGAGCATTTTTGTAATGTGACGATGTTTTCTCAGCTATCCCACTTTGTTGAGGGGTATATGGACATGATTTCTAATGTTGAATGCCATGAGATGAGAGAAAATTATAGAGAGGAGTAGCAATATACTCCCCACCACCATTCCACACAAGGATATCCATTTATCCTTACATAATCCTCTCTTTTGTGTTATTTTTTATATGTTGAATTAGAATTGAGGTTTGTAGTCTTCTATTTTGTGTAAGATTAAATTATTTTGACTGATTGAGTTGAATAATTTTATTGTGATAGATTAAGTTGAGGCTGCTTTACTCATTGAGTTTGCTTTTTTTTTTGCGACAAACATAACGTTGTTGTTCTAAACATGTTTGATATGTATGTAGTTCAAGGGCGATCACAACATAAGGCTCTGCAAATCATTAATCTATATCATTGTCAGTTTGGATTATTTTATACAGTGCTAGATATGCAACTTCAAGAGCTTAATAATCGTTTCACAGAGGTGAACTCCGAACTAATGCTTAGATTGGCATGCTTAAATCCAAATGATTCATTCTTTGCATTTGATAAGGAGAAGATTTGTCTTACTCAATTTTACCCTTCTGAATTTTTCACAACGAAGCACGTGATACTTAAGAATCAACTTCGGACTTACATACTTGATAGTGAAGTGAGTTATACAAATTCTAATTACCGTAATACTTGAGACTTACATACGGTGAATAATAGAGTACAATAAGAAAACAGAATCCGTATAACCCACTCCAAATTCATGTATCTTACATACAAGAATTCATGAACTACTGGTACTTCCAAAAACCATACATGGCACTTCATCATCTTCAACTTGATAGGAACTTGGTAACAGCATTATGAATGATTCAATCAAAATTAAACTAAATAATTATTGGCTTTGACCAATAAATTTCATTTGTCATCTCGACTGATTAAGAAATCAATGGCCACGAATTTCAAGATTCTATTTATTGAAAGTCCATTCTACGAATCTTACAAAGTCCATCTTGGAGATGGACTTTTATTTTGAGAAGTTACGCCAAACACAACCTAATTCATTGAGGGGCGTGCAAACTATTTGTAACCGGCAAATAGCTATTTATCTCACACCCGCGCTCGCACAAATACAGACACACACAGGGGAAGGGAAGGAGAGAGAGAGAGAGAGGGTCGCAAAACCATTCAGTAAATTGACAAAAGATGTTAGGTTGAACGATTACATGGCCATTCCCATGCTCCTTCTGGGAAAGCAAACTTGGTAACAATGGAACCAAGGAAATCAAGTAAGTTACAACAAAAGGCTGCCACTGGACCCTTCCAAAAAAAAAATGCCACCCCCAGACAACAGCCAAATGCAACCAGGTTTCCCACCAACCCAAAGAACAGGGTAAAAGAAAACATACACTTCCAGAAGCATAGATTTTACACGCCACCTAACAGGTAATTGCGGTTGCTAAAGGAGTTACCAGAACTGCAGTGTTTCCGGTTATTGGCTGGAGACTGTCTACTTTCTCCAGGCGCTCCCATGCTTCCCTCCGTTTTTCAGCGGCCATGTTTAGATTTTCTTGTTCCTCCTTGAAACGGGAATGGCAGGCCAGGAACAGAACATCATCCATCTCCATGAACATCTTTCTGATATTTAGAGATAAGTTGACCACCGCCTGGTGCCAGTGGCTCTGCACATTGTTTTCTAGGGCTGGAAATATGATTGGTAGTATCACATGCCGGTTACGTGCAATCAGATTAAGAATTTGGTCATTATTCCAGAAGAACAATGCCCTCTCAGCTACCTGAAATGACAGCGGAAAGAAATGTAAGTTCTGTATTGACCAAAGCTGGTTCATTTAAAAGGATTTAATCACCTCAGAAACTAATTCAAGGCTTCAAGCAGACAGACACACTACAATATACAAATGGTGCAAGTATTTCATTGACAACAATGTGGACCAACAAACTAGCACAAATGACATCACATATCAGCCACCTTGAGAAAGGGCCCACCTATATGCCGTAACAAGCAGAACCATCACAATTCAAGAAGATCCTACTGTTAACTAGTTCAAGCAAAAATGAGTTCAAAGATCACCATCAAATCATGAACTGCTTCCAACAATCTGAATATGGGGAATCTACCCAACAAAGGGGAAGGTGATGATTCATCACTTCTGTATCTCCACTTGCTATGTAGGATATCGCATTCACTAGATACAGACCACCTACAAATTAAATAATCTACAGTCGAAAAAAAAAATCCAACTTACAAGGAGCAAAACTCAAAACTTCCTCGCCCAGAAAAAATGCATTTGAAAACACAAATCGAAGTCACGGGAAAAACCCTCCTTAACTTTTTGTCCAAAGGAAGGAGTTCCTCTTGCCATTAAAAATGCTCAACGAAGTAAAACAATCTCTTATGCAATTCCAATCTTGAAGTTGGGAAAATTACAATATATTGACATCTACTTCTCCTTGATACTTAATTCACCTCTAATCATTCCCAGTCCATTGATACGAAACCTATCCTGATATATATCCATCTCTTATTCTCATTATATATTCTTGGATTAGTAAAAAGTAAAAAGTAAAAAGTAAAAAATATGACCAATAAGGAGGATTCTTTTTTTTCTGAACATCAATAAAGAGGATTCCAATACTATTAGTTTTGACGGAAAGTGATGCAATACAGCTGAAGGAAGTGATCCTTGGGCAGAGAATCATCACTATCAAAGGTCTCAAGCTCAAGGCATCTATTGCCATCAAGGAAAGATGAATAATTCATTAATATGTATTAAATAGCTAGCGGTAAGTACCTTCCATCACCACCAAGAAGGGGTGGGTGGCCATAACTCCAACAAAGATCCCAAGTCCATCATCCTTAAATATAATAACCATAGAAAAAGAAAATGCACAAGACCATGATAAGCTTTTCCAAGAGCTGTCCTGTGGATTATTGCAGAGATCTCATTCTCAAGTTTAACATTGAATCCAAACTTGATAGTCATACCCCCAAATGCAAAGATTGATTTTCCCCTCAACAACATACTTTGATTTCGACATAATACTTCCTCATCCATTATCTCATCCTTGCAACTAAAAACACAGCAAATTACGCACCTCTCCTAAAACATTCAGCTCACTTTTCCACTTTAAAATTAAGTAAATCGACTCCACCAGTAACCAACACCAATGATACATAGAGATTATCATATTCTCAACTCATCAGCTTACATTCTGGCTCGTTGCATCATCATTACTTATATCCCTCAACCTTCCCAAGCTACTACACCTCAATAGTCTCTCTACAATTAGCACCCTAAAATTATCCACCTATAATCCCTTTGGAGGAGTGCTATTAGCCAATTCTCACTGCAACTCATAGGGAAAATGTGCAATCCCTTTACATGACCTCTTTCCCCCTCAAATGCCCATCGATATGTCCAATCCCTTTACAATCCACTAATTGATTGGGGTGTTTTTATTACATGACATTGCCCAAAGTCAACCAAGTTACCTGAGAATCATGATAGCAACATACATTACCTTCTCCAATTTAACGTACAATCTAAAACCACTCTTAAAATTTGGCCCCTTAATGCCATTCATGGTTCCTACCATCTAATTGTTTACCAAACATTCAAGTTTTATCTTCTAATGCTCATACAATCATCAGTTAAAGCATTCCAATAATTTAAATTTCTTTGACAATTTTTCTCACATCCTAGAATACATTATGTGGCTCTAACTACTCTTACCATTCAACAAAGATTTGACATTTGCAAGGCCCTTGGCTTCATAGCATATGCTTGCATCAAAATTTATTTGCAAAACCGTCTTTAACATTGCAGATGCTATACAAAATTAAATGAGTTCTCTTACATCTAATAAGAGATAGAGCAATGCTAAGAACAGAATGGATGGACTATCAACCCATATGTGCACTGTGAACTGTTATATGCAAAACCCGAGTCTATGCACACCATATAGAACCAATCTATTCTCCATTATTAAAACCATAATGGCCAGCTCAAGATACTCCAAATCCACTGTAAGATGTGGAAGATGGGACTCAATTTTGGATCTCCTTTACCTAATATTAGCAAGCCTAATTACCTAGATATTTCTTTAAATTTTCAAGTTATACACAATGAAGTTTTGCACCATTGGAAGGTATAAAAAAAATTGAGTTGCATAGATACAATCATTTTAAAATGCATGCCAAATACTAGTTCTTGGAGCCAAAAAGGTAAACTGAGACTTTGCTTTCTTCCACTTCCACTAGACAGACTACCTATCTAGATCACACAGTGCGGGAGAGAGAGCGCGAAAGCGCAAAATTTTAAAACAAGTTGAGATCGGGAGTGTCACTAAGAGCGTCGAATTATATATATGATATTGTAATACATACCTAAATTTAACTATTAATTTAAATTTTAAATCCCACATAAAGTAATAAAGTGAATGATTAAATAAAATTTATTCAAAAAAGAAAAAGATTAAACAAAAACTTAAGTCATTTTAGCTCTTTGTTCTAGTGTAGAGTGTAATGTGGACAACAACTCTTTGTTCACACGTGGATTGTACAGTGGACAGCAATCCCACATCGATAAGTTTGAGAACTTCCCAGTTTGAGATTCCTATAAAGAGGGGCCAGCCCTCAACATCTCTCTTCACTTTGTAATGCATAAAATAGCCACCCGGAAAGTACCCACATGGAGTGAGTACAACTGTAATAAATAAATTTGTTTTACGGCTGAGGTGGGCCAAAAGGTCTCAGAATACCTATCTGAAATAACGTTCAAATAATCTTTTATAAAGGATGGCAAATTGTATGACTGATGAGTTCGCGAATCCAAATATTTGAGTTCACGAATTAATGGCGAATTCGCTCTGAATTCGCAAATTAACACGAGGTGCAATGAAACATTAGCTGTAGGTGACGAATTTTGTGACTCAGCTACCTATCCAAGGAAACTCTGAGTCTATCTGCCAGCAAAATGGCTTAAAAAGAAATAAGTTTAATGATTTGGTTAGTAACTTAAAAGAGATGCAAAATGAGATCTAAATAACAATGAAGGGAAAAGAAATAAATGGTCTTCGGCCAGATCTTGGAGGTTTTTTGTGTGTGTCTTGTTTTAGAAGAAGGGGGTTTGAAAACAAAATAAGACAGAGCCAAAAAAAAAAAAGACAGCATAGCATTAACTTCACACAATAAAGAATGCTTATTAGGGAAAAGAATATACCTGGAAGTGAAAACTGTTGATACAGCATCCAATCCGCCAGAACAATGGAACCATGACCATGTGGAACTCAGCCATGTTGATCCCTTCCAGAATCTCTTCCAACTCACCCAAAAACATCACCTCCTTCTGTGTATTTGTTATTGGCCAGTACTTCAACAACCCCCTAATCACAGTGCTGGCTAACTTTGGATCCTTCTCTATAAACTGCGTAATACAATACGACAACTGTTGGAAGTAAACCCCCAAAGACTTCGGTTTATGCAAAGGAATCAAAACTCTCCACAGGAATATCTTGTGCTCCTCTTTCAAAGGCAAGGCAAACCCAGTAATCACACTCCCAAAGATCTCCAATAACTCAGCAATCCCATTATGCCTCTCAATCTCAAACACAAAGCGGCAGAACACATTGCTCATATTCTTCCGAATAAAGGGTCTATGAACCATGAACTTCCCATAAATCCTATGCAAAATAGCTTTCAAACACTCTCTTTCTCTAGGATCCTCAGAATCAAATAGGTCAATCAATCTCAAAATAAATGAATGACTTACATACTTCTTCGCCACTTTTGCTTCAAGCGAAGAGGAAGTCACAAACTTGAGCAGTAAATCATGCACAATTTGCAAATGCGACCAAGCCGGATCGAACATAGGCTCACCTTCATCATTTTCATCATTATTCGATTTAGACCGATAATTGGGCGGAAAAACCCGAAACAAATTGACAGCACACATTTTACACATTGCTAGTATCGCGGGTTCGGTGAATTTGAGAGGATTCAAAGCAACAAACTCAACAAGCTCAATCAAAGTTGAACGTTTCAAATCTTTCTCTGTGGCGTTTTTAGATGGGTCAGTGAAGTCGAAAACTACACAGCAGAGGCTTAACTTACTGATGAAGAGATTCATTTTCTCAGAGCCTGGAACGTCCTTGAATGGGAGTAATGGCTCGATTCCCGCGATAAGACTTGCCGGAAAAACGGCTGATGAGGTCCGTTTAGCCACATTGGGGCGGTTTGAAGCTGAATTCCCACCATTGCTAGGGCTTAATGAGCTTGAATTGCTGGAAGGCGAGTCCACCGAGTCGGATTTTAAGGATTTCCGAGGAAGTCTACTAAGAATTTGCTTCAACATTGTCTGAAAAAAGAATCGAATAATTTTACAACATGAAACAAAACCCAAAATCAACGGCGATGTGGTTGTTTTATATCAACCCAAAAAACCCTAGAAATCTGGGCATGGATCGTTGAAGTTGAAAATCCAGACGGTAATGCCCTAGATCCGGAATGTATCTTACAACATGGGTTTCTATGAAGACCGGATCTTCAAGAAATGATTGCTGGAAAAGGTTAATAGATACATGAAACCCTTGAAAACAACGCGTAATATTTCATGATTTCCATGCAAGTAGAGAGAGGAGGGAGAGAGATAATCATGAAGGAGGGAGAGAGGAAAAAAAAGGGAGAAAATTTGGATCTTGATGACAGATGTCAATCTGAGATCATAATTGGAAGGAGAAAGTAGAGAGAAAAACAGAAAAAAGAGGGGGAGAGAGGGGGGAAAAAAAGGGTAAAGAGATTGAATTTCTTCTGTTTAGATGTGTTTCTTGGGTATAATACACCTTTGATCAGCTTGGAGCAAATGAGGATTATTTAATGAAAAAATGCTATTTTTATTTAATTTAAGGATCTAATTTGAGTATTTAATTCATAAAACTTGTTGGATGGAAAGTTAGTTTCATATGACATTATTTAACAAATTAGATTCAAGAATAAACATCAAGTAGCATTTTATATACTATATAACATACATATCTCCACCTCATACACTCTTTACATAGCTACTTGGAAGTTTTATAAGAGGGTTGTAACTAAAGGTGGCAAATGGACAAGTTGGGTTCGTAATGAGTTAGTTCAAAATAAGTTGGGTGCAAAACAAATCCATTTAGTTTTCGATCTGTTTAATAAACAAGTTATAATAGGTTAGATTAAACATATTAACTTATAAAATAATTAAAACTCTCAATATAAACACATACTAATGCACTGAATAAAATGTATATTAATACACACAAATATATACACGCATATACTAACACATAAAATACAAACACATTTAATAAAACACCAAAATACACACACATATATTAATACATCAAAATATACACACACATGTTTCTTGAGACCGAGTTGGGGTTGGGGTTTGAGTTTGCGACCAAGTTTAGGGTTGAGGTTTGCCTATGGGTCCAGAACGGGGTTCAGGTCTAGGGTCGAGGTCAGGTCATGCAGGTCTAGGTTCGAGGTCGAGTCCATGTTTGAGTTCAGTGTGTGTATTTGTTTTGGTGTACAAATGTGTGTTTGTGTATATTTTTTGGTGTATTAGTGTATATGTATATTTTAGTGTATTAATGTGTGGGTGTGTGTGTGTTTGGTGTATGCGTGTGTGTGTCTGTTTCAATGTATTATTAGGTGTATGTTTTGGTGTATTAATGCGTGTGTGTGTTTGTTTTGGTATACTAATGTTTGTGTGCGTGTGTTTTGGCGAACTAGTGTGTATATTTTGGTGTATTAGTATATGTGTATGTATTTTTTGACGTACTAGTGTGTGCATTTTTTAGTATATTATTATTTTATTTTTTGGGAGGAGAGAGGGAGACTTGAACTCTTGACTTTAAAAAATAAAAGTATTTCCAAGACAAGGAGTACTATTGAATCAAGAGATTCATTGGTATTTTTTTTAATATATTAGCAATATACGACGTGCATTGCATGTAAACAAATTTAAATAATATTTATTTATAAAAAATGTGAATTATATGTGTAATTAAATTAAATAATAAATTAGGTATTTCTTTGACCCCCATAAGTATTTGCATATCTAATTATATTATATAATTTTAAATTTTATTTTGTTAAATAGATTGATTAGGTTGCCTATATTTTTATTATATCATTGCGTACTGAAAAATAAAAAAATATTGTGTGTATAATAATTTATATAAAATTGTATGTAATTATACTAGTAATAAATGAGTTCAAAAGATTTAAAATTTTTTATAAAAGAGTCTAAAATAAGTTGAAAGTCAAATAGGAGTAAACAATAAAATTACTAAATTAGATGAAAATATAAATGTGGGTATAATTGACTTTATTATAATAATTAAGGATAAAATAAGAAATCAAAAAATCCATTACTCCTATTAACTCTGATAACGACTTTATGGACTTTTAGAGATATACCCCTTTTAAAAGTAATATTTCTATTAATGAAGATTTATTTAATGATGATATGGAGATAAATCTTCAGGATAATGTCAATATGCTATATGATTTGATTTTTAGGAAATAATCAGATAAATCTGAATTATTAGATAAAACTGAATCTGAAGGGGTGACGAATGTCATGATATCACTACAAAATTATCAGAAAAAAGTGACGTAAGTCATGACGTCACAAACAGTATTTGTACCGTAATAATGACGTGGGCAATGACGTCAATTTAATTTATTAAATTGTGAATAGTAAAAAGATGTAAATAATATAGGAATGTTTGAATTTGGATTTCAAATCCGACTCTATGTAAGGGATGCAACTCTAGCCTTTTAGGGACATTCCTTGTTTGCTACCTCTCCTCCCTATCTTTCCTTTGTTGTCCCTTGCACCATCTCTGAACCTGTTCTCACTTGTAAAATAATCCTCCATCTTCCACCTTCTACAACCCTTTTGTAAGTCCAATATTGTACATATTTTATATAAAAGTAAAACATTTCTTTACATCTTTTAAGATCATCTTGATTCATGGTTTTAAAATATCAATTCTTAAATTCCTCATATTTAGGAAGATTAAATTATGCATTAATTTCTTTTCTATTAATTATAAATTCTTTTTGGTCTAAATCCATAAAGATTATAATTGAAATAAAAATAATTATGTTTGTTCCATCTTTATAGTTATAGCTATAAGTTTTAATATTACATGTTAAAGCATCTAATATATTTTTATCCAATAAAGATACAGATAGATTTGGAAAACAGTTAAAATAAATTAGACCAGTGTTTAAGCTGGATTGCATAACACCCATTAGAGATTGATCAAAATCAAGATATCTAGCATCTATTAATGCTAGGATAAAACAAACATTTAATCCTTGAAGAGTTAATGGTTTTAAAGTCACTTGGACTAATCCAATGTATAAAAATTTATAATTTTTTTAAGCCTTTAGGACTTCTCTCTTGGTTAAAAGTTGTAAGATATCTCCATATTGATCAAAAGGAATAGTCCTTTCAATCGTTTTAATTGTTAAACTCGATTTAAAATCGAAAGTTCCAATATTATAAATTTTTTTAGTTGAGTACTGGGGTATATCCCAGTTTTGTAATTTATTTTTAATATCTGAATATTCAATTTCTTCTATATTTTTAACATAATCATCTCTATATTTATTATAAAATTTAAATAGGCTTAATGTCATGTTGGTAATTCAAAAGGTTTTTTGTTAACTTATATGTTTCACTATTACCTTATTCTGGTTGCTACAGTAATTCGTAATTCTGCTATAGTGATACAATTCTGCTACATCTTCTACTCTTGCTGGCAACGATTTACGGGGAACCAAAGGTGGCCTCACTCCTGTCTCTTGGACACGACTTAACAATCTTGTCTTTTTGCTAACCAGGAGTTTTGGAAGACTCTAGTTGGATTTTAACTCCTTTGTCTAATGGAATGCAGTTCTCCCTTCCTCCCCAAAAATGTTAAAATGGGCTAGCACATGTGTTCCATCAATTGGTTGGATTACAGACATTCCTTCTCCCGTTTACACTTGTGAATTCACTTGTATTAGGGTTTTCCAAAACCAATCCCCCCATCTTATCTGACTGGCGATTTGTAGACCATTTTCTCATCTATCTTAGTCTGATGACTCTTTTGATTTGTTGTAGTAATGGATCACCAAGCGTTCCTCTATCTTTTAGAAAATTTGATCAAAATACATTCCCCATAATCTTCTTTTGTTTATTGTTACACCTATCATTGTTTTCCCTTATGTGAATTAGACTCATTGTAGTACATTCCCCAACTTCATACCAATCTTTTGAAGAATGAGAGGATAATAATACTCGACTAATAGTTTTAGGATCGAAACCCAAACTACTATGGTTGTGATAGTGACTAAGGAAGGCTGGAAATTTGATTCCCACTTTATGTGACATAAATTGTCAACTGTCTCACACAGTCCTGTAAGATTTAGGATTGTTTGTTTGAGAAGAAGTAACAAACTAATGTCTTTCCAAATGGCTTAACCATGCGAATTGCTTCCATGGAGTTCGTATTCTTAGCTTATCTTCCCTAAAGAAAGGTATCTGAACTTTCACCATCGTTTCTTCTTCCTCCACTTTAGAGTCTACTTCATCCTCCACAAAATCCTTTCATATTTGACCTCTTTTCCACTTGAGTAAGCCAACACTTTGTCTTTTTAGGATTCCTTGCTTTGTTATTGTGTTGGTACCTTAGTATAAATTCATATGCTTACTTGTTTTAATGATCTACAAAGGAAAATGTCTCATGTATGGGTTGAACTCCACTCTTACCCCCTAAATAGGTTGAGGACATTGTGGCACTTGTTCATTTAATTGAATTGCAAGTGCTTGCTTCGTCTAGTTGAATTTGGTGAATAAAGTGAAAGTAATAAAATACCATACTCAATTGAAGAATAAATCACAAGCACTTGCTTCGTTTAATTGAAGATTGGTAAAAAAAAAAATGAAAATAATTAAAAATTATACTAAGTTGAATCAAAATCGAATAGTTATTCTTTAACATCCCTTAGATATTATTTTGTTCATAATTTCTAGATTAATTTAAATATTAAATGTAACGGCTCCCTGTATATATTACATTATATTTTATAACACATATAAATTTAATGTTCTTTGTTAAAATTGCATAATAATTTTTTTTCATAAAAATAATCACGTTTTTTTTAATCATCCTATAAACTATTGCTATTTATCCTTAAAAACTTGAGCTCCCTTTCCAATTGCACCTATTTATATGAGAAAAATTATTTATTTATATTGGATAAATTACATTGACACGTCCCCTAGTTTTTGATATTTTCACTGCACCCCTTCTTTTT